AAGGCAATTAGACATAACAGTTGGAGGAATAGTTGAAGAATGTAGGAATACACCTCTTATTGAGTATTTCCGATTAGGGTATTAATGTTCCCTACCCACTCCTAGAAGGCGGATTAAAACTAATACACACACACACACACACACACACATCACTATCTAGGTTGAACAGTTTGAGTAAATTACAGACCATATAGCACCAAAGACGACATACGTATATGAGATCTACGTCCTTACCCCAGAAACAAGTGATGTGAGGCCCCAGCCCCCTAACACCAAGCGAACTATTTGTGTTTTCTTGCTCGCTTCCCCTCTGCTTTCAGTCTTTCTCTAGCTATACACCCTCCTCTTGCCTACCTTCCTCATGACATTAATTGTTTTATTTCCGCTGAAGTATCATCATGACATTGTGGAAAGAGAACTTTGATTTCTAGAAATCAAAGCCCTCTTTCCTACTCTGCAGTCCATTGGTTGTGGGACTCCAAGACAGACACCTCCATCTCTGATCTCGTAAAGATAACCAATATTTGCTAAAAGATTATCACGTCCCAGGCATGTGCTAACTGCCTTGTGTAAAGTACCTTATTTAGATGAGGTCCAAACTATTTCCATTTTCATTTCCAATGAGGGAGTGGTCTCAAGAAGTTAAGTTCACATAGCCAGGAAGTACCGGACCAAGGATTAAGATTCCAGAGCCTCTTTTCCTGGCACTATGCTTCCTGGAAAAAGCAATAATGGGCCACCTGAAAGTCTAACTAACTGCAAGTCATCAATAATAAATAAAAAGTTGATTTAAATTCCCTCTCTTTACTAAAGAGGAACAATAAGGCCATCTGTCCTATCCACCTCAGAAAAATGTCCTGAAGACAAATGATAAAGAGACTCTCTAGGGGCTTTTTAGGCCTGGTGGCTCAGGCCTAAAGAGGTTTGTCAACTCTGCCCTAAGTTGAGACTGCCTCTGGAGGCAATGACTCTAGTAACTGCCAGCAAACAGAATGAAAGGAAAGTGGTTCAGAGACTGTTCAATCTTGATAGGACACTGGGACCTTGGCTTGCCTCCCTAGGGGGAAGACAGTATGAAGCGGGGGCAGTTTCTGGATGTAATGCCAAATCCACAGGGGTCCAGCACTTGCCCGTCACATTTATTGCCTGTCACTAACCTAAGCTTTTAGAAGGCTGCATGTATCTGTTTAAATTAACTCAGAACAGGGACCTACATTAGAGGATGCTGTGAGTGTTGAAGATTAAGACACTGGTGGCATCACCATTTCATCCAACCATCCTCTGATCTTCAAAATGATGTTTTGTTTTATTTTCACACTAACTAGTCCTTTTAATTCAGCTAAACATTTCCAGAAAATTTAATCTCAAATTAAAGGCATCACTGGTAAAGAATCATAATTATCCTGACATTTTAGAAATCCACAAGAGAGTGGTTGCTAAGGGACTGGGCAGGTGAAGCAGAGAGATCAGGTAAATGAAAGCTGCCTTGAATCTAGAGTCTCTCCCCTCAATAGCACCTGTCAAGATCCCAATCAAGAACTCAGTAACGGCTAACACAACACATCTAAGAATAGTGTCCCTTCTGGGTGGTTTCTATGCATAGACGAGGGGTTTTCAAAGAGTGATCTCTTGACCAGCAGCAGCAGCAGCATCTGGGAACTTCTTAGAAATGCAAATTCTGGGGTTGCTTGCCAGACTTACTAGTTAGAAACTCTGGAGGCAGCGCCCAGGATTCTGTGTTTTAGCAAGGCTCCAGGTGACTGTGAGACACACTTCATGGGTAACAGAATCACCTGGGAAATTTGGTTAAAGTACTAAGACCCCCCCCCCCCACCCCCGGCCTATTCCGTACCCAAAAGCCTGGGATTCTGGAATTAGCTCTCCAGGTGATTGTGATAAACACCAAAATTTGAAAACCACTGATCCTAACATATGAGGGAACAGAGTTAGAGGCAAATAGTGGTGAAGGGATTAACAAAATAGTATGAAATTTACTCTAAGGTGAAAACATCTGAACAATCAGCAGCCTTGTAAGTTTTTTGTTTGTTTATTTTGAGATACCCTTTTATTGAAAATGGATCAAGCTATTCCCTCCTGTCTATCAGTGAGTGGGGCCCCAAAGCTCTGGAAAGAAACAAACATACAAGTTACCCATGCTTAATATTTGCCAGGTCCCCACTGGGTTTTGACACCATATCTCATTTAATCTTCATAACAATATGATGAGAGAGGAACAGGGAACCATCACCCTCCTTAGTAAAGTAAATCTCCTAGGCTCAAAGCATTTAAATTTAGATGAGGGGAGACAGCTGACCTTACTGCCCTGACTGTGCACCCTGAGCCTTACTTTCACCCTAAAGTTCTCTGGCTTTAATTACTACCACAGTAATATCCAACATGGCTGTTTCTTCCTTAATACTCTGACACCTCCCTCCCAGGACCAATGCACTTTCCCTTAGTTCCCCTGACCATAGTTGGGACAAGATGAAACTTTCAAAGTACATTACTAAATATTAAACTAAGGAACTACCAAATGAGAAATAAATACATAGCTCTTAAGACAAGTAACATAGAGAGGTGGATAATAATACAGTTCTAGAGCTAGAGTACCTGGGCTTAAATTCTGGCTATCATTTACTAGCTGTGTGACTAGTTACTTAACTTCTCTGTGCCTTAATATCTTCATTTGTAAAATGATAATGAAAATATCCATCCCACCATCTCATAAAATAGCATCTGGTGTATAGCATGTACATATTCAGTTAGGCTTATAAAGTACAAGATTTAGTTTGCTCACAGATTCGTAAGTTCTGTGCTGTACTAACAAATATGTGGAGAAATTCAATCTAGTCCAGCAAAGGGCCACTCAGCTTCACAGGTAGGGGCAACTCACCTCATTTTTGCTGATGGTAAAACTGAGCCTTATCTGCAATTTCAGCTATCTAAACCCACCACACCTCAAAGATTTAAGCTCAAATACTGTTCTTTTTTAAAAAGCAAAATATAGAAATTGAATAACTTTGCGTAAGTATCCTAGGTGATCTCAAACTCAGAATGTCATTTTTAATTGGAGTTAATCTTCATGAAATAAAATGGGAGGAATGGAAAAAAATTAATTCTTGTACAACCAAAAAGTTAATAGTATTTCGAAGGTGCATTCACCAAATCCAGAACAGAAAATAATTCAATGCAAATTTCTAGAAACTAGTTTTCAGGAATTATAAATCTATGAATTAATTGCAATATCTGAATCTTCTGTCCACACTATCAAAAGTGTGAGAAAAGAAATATGGTAATATTCTTCTGTGGATACATAAATTTGTAATTCAACTGATGCTTTACACACACACACACAAATTGATATTGAAGAATTTCACAAAGGAAGTCTATGTTTCATCCCATGTAACTATGATAGACCATGATAAGATTACATAACTAAATTTGCATCCTACACATTAGAAAATATTAAGACTCCAGATACTTTAATAATGCCTTACATTTGTATAGTATAAACCATTTTTATCTCTATAATTTCCTTTGAGCTTCATGGCATAAAGATGATGAAACTCTATTTGCACTCATTTTAAAGAAACAGATAGTACAGGCTTAGAAAATATAGATGTCCTGCCCAAGGACACAGAGCTTAGCAGCACCCAGATATCCTGACTCAAAATCTGGTTCTCTTTCTATTAATACTACAAAGATATGTCCAATGGATGGAAAAAAAACTAATATATTTTACAGTGATACATCCCCCTTTGCAAGTCAATATGCATGTATCATCTTTTAATTTTTAAAGGCTGTTTGAATGAAATAAGAGCAATAAAAACTAATAGATACATTCACAATATTTTTTTAAAAAAAATTCTCAAGGGAATAAGGATACATGAATCCTTACCTTTCAGTGAGTCAAAGTCGAAGCCAATTGCCCCTGTGCACTAACCTCATCTTTTTCTCTTTAGGGGAACCAACATTGCCCACTGAATCTGCTGAATCCTTCTTGAAAAGTCAACAGACAACAGCAGTAAGCATCATAACATTGCCCGATATGAAGTGGGGATTTCTGTATGAGACTAAAAGGCCAGCTGATGGGATTAGTAACTTTTCTAGTGTGAGAGATTTTTTCTAAATTACATGTCCCAACTTTTCCTCCCACTTACCAAAAACAACATCCCATGATGAAATGGAACCTTTGCACATCTCAAACTAAAAATTGAAAAGTTTCTCCATTCCCTTCAGTTTCAGCTGAAGAGGTTTGGAGATCTGGCTCAGGCATAATACTGAATATTTGCATAGCACTTTACAGTTTGCAAAGTACTTCTACATGCACCGTGTCAGGTCAGATTTTCCAGCTACCTAGTGAGATACATATTGTCATCTTGTATCACAAATGATAAAATTGAGGCACAAGGAGAGTATGTTGCCCAAGATCACAATGAAAACAGCAGATGGAGACTCAGATCCACCTCTGACTCCAAATGTTGAGTGCTCTTTTCACTTCTTCCTTGCTACCCACCCTAAAAACGTCTTCCCTCCACCACACACCCCAAGTCCCTTCAGAAGAGACTGGTTCAAATATTGGTTTCCTTCTTCACAGATGGAACTAAATCTTGGACAAGCAGGACTCTCCTGCCCTTTTCCCAATCTCCCTAGGAGGAGACGGGAAGGAGCGCCTCCTTTATCCTTGTCTTTCCAAGACAACAAGGAAGCATTCTCCCCATGATGCTGGCGCCAGTACAAAGCTGGGGAGAGGGATCCTTAGGGTGTAAACTACCTTGCCAGCTCCTGTTTAAATCCCTGTGAAAGATGGTCCTTCTGAAATAACCCCCTATTGAACCACAAATGAGTCAAGTTGTAAAAGAAGTTATAGGCGAGAGGACAAGAAAAGCGAAATCCTATTGGGAGACAGAGCTTTCACTTCTCTCCCTTAAGGTAAGAAGCCCCCCAAAGGTCTCCAAGCAGCTGGTCCTCGCGATCCCTCTGCGAGATAGCAGACTTACCCCCGGCGCTGTGGCTTCGGGGCAAGGAGAGCTGGGACATACTACTCTCCGCACTCTTCAGCACCGGGGACAGCTCCGGACTCGCCAACTTCGCGCGCCCTTCCGGGCTCGGCGCTGCCGGCTGAGCCTCCCAGGCTGCGGGCGGGGCGGCCGGCTCTCCACGCCCGGGTCCGAGCCTCCGGGGCTTGGGGAGCGCAAATAGATCTCGGCGAGCAGCGGAAGCAGCCGGTGGCGCCTCGGGCTGCGGTGGCGACGAGCCCGACTGCACCACGGCGCTGCGGGACCGCGCCAGCGCGGAGGAGACGGAGCCCATCTCAGCGGGCCGGGCTGGGCCCAGGTGAGCGGCCCGGTTCCCTGTGGGACTCGTACCCCTTGCCTGCCAAATGCTTAGTCCCTCTCCGCGCTGGAGCGCCCTGGCTTCTGCTCCGCCTCTGCCCCCGCGGGTTACAGCCCCTCCTTGGCGAAGGAGGAGGCGGCGGAGGCTTCAGGGAGGACTCCGCGCCCACCCTGGGTGGACAGGGGACAACCTCGGCGGTGTCCGCGCCTGTCTGGCAGTCTGGAGTGGACGGGGACACTTGGAAGAGACGGTGTGCAGAGGTTGTCCGGAGACTTTACTGAGGGGTGTGGGGAGGAAGGAGCGTGGCATGAAGTGAAGGATACTTTCTTATCTACTTTCTCCACTTGGTTCACCTGGGGCCAAAGGCTTGGCACGTCCTTCCTGCTCCTCCAGAGACATCTGGGCTGCCTCTGTCCCCGGGGAGGATGGAGGGTTTATTGAGGACGAAGGAGGAGCCTAGATTTGTTTTCTTCTCAATTGCTCTTCTTAGAGCCAATATCACTACTCTAATATGCTGTGCTTTCCTGAGAAGCCCTGCTCGCTGCTGTCCCTGAGGAAGGTTTGGCAATTCCCCTCCTCAGCATGCCTCCTCCTGTGCCCCTTACTCTGGGCACCTCCTTCTGGTGGGCACCGAGACTGCCCACCCTTCCTGTGAGGGGTTGAGCAAAGCGGTGGAGGGGCAAGGGAAGGCAGCTCAGCTAGTTCTCTGAAGGAAAGCAGGAGGCGGGAGGCAGGCGCCAACTGGCCCTGGGGGCTCCCCTGTCGGGAAGCCACAGCAGCCAGGGACCCTATTAATAGACGTGCCCCACTGGCCCCATGCTTTCTCTGACTGCAAGGTGGTGACGCCTAATGTGGGGCCAGAAGCAAAAAGAGTAGCTTGGGATTATGTTCCAGCTAAAATCCTATTGCCCAGAGAAGTTTTAGTTCTTGCCCAAGGTCACCCAGCTGGTTAGTGGTGGAGCTGGGTCTTGTGGCTGGGTCTCCTCTTTCTAGATCCAGTCTCCTGTCCACACTGCACCCCATTCCAAATGTTTTCAGACACTGAATTATGAAGCAAGACAACTGTGCAATACACAGCATATCTAAGGCTGGAATGTATGAAGGTAGAGAGACTTTATCAGGGATTCCTGAGCTAGCCTGGGATTCAACCTCCCCTTGTCCTCATTCAGAGCCCAGTACTTTTTCTAGACAGCATAATATGACTCTTGACACTATCATCTGTAAAATGGCATACAAATAAGCACGTGTCAAGTAGTAGTATTATGGAGGTAGCTTCTAGATCAACAAACCCCAAGAAGGGAAAAGAGAAAAAGAGGGTTTAAGAATCCTCAACTGGTATTTAGAGAAGAGACAAGTCAGAGAATTAACTGGGATGGGACATCTGTGGGTCCAGTACACTCCTCTGTCCTTGGCAGTGTTTCCTGTGAGGTGAGCAGAAGCTGAAATCCTAGTCCCTGAGCTAACATTACATGGAGGACTGTCTGCCATTTAAGGGAATAGGCACCATGATCCCCACACCCTGCAAGGACCATCGGCAGTGTCCTCTCCTGTCTGCTAACATCAGGAACCCATCTTCTCAGGGCAGGCAAAAGGAACACAACAGGGTCCACCTACCCATGTGTTTGCATGACTATAGTAATTTCCTTAAAAGTTTTTAATCATTTTTTATTCTTCCCTTGCTCACCTGATGGACAAGTAAGCCCTGGTATAAATCCTCTCTCTGGGCAAAGGACTTTTAAGAAAGGGAGCTCCCTGGGCAGACATTTCCTATTCTCACGTCTTCACTTGATTCTCCTGAAAAGCTGACTTGGACATCATTACAAATAACATAAAGGTGGGCGTGGATGGAGGTAAGACGTTCTGGACCTACCCTAAGTGACATAGTCCACTTGCCTGTACCTATTGTGAAAATACATAAACATAATTCTACTGAATGCGATAACATAGAGCTGCTACCCTAAGCCCCCAGAATCCCCCCTGTCACAATGGCTGACCCAGGCCTTCCCCCAGGACAACACACACACACACACACACACACTTCCTTCTCTAGGAGGGAGGCTCAGATAACTAAGAGTTTGGTTGGCTGATAATCAGATTCTCTCAGTTCTCCTGTCAGTGAGAAGAGAGACGAGCCTGTAAAACCAAAACAACCCTCCCAGTCTCCTCTTCCACTTGCATTTTAAAAAAGTGTACGGTCATCTAGAGCTTGATGAGAGGAAGCTGTCAGCAGATGCCAGCTGCAGGCGATTTCGTTCTCATGGTCCTTGCCTTTCTCCTTCCAGGCCTCTGACCTCATCCATCAAGCACAGGAGAGCTCCCTCCGGATTTCCACCAGTGGGTGCTCAGCCCAGTGTGCACTGAGGGGCATTAGAAAGATCTTCTGACTCACCTAGCCAAATCTTGTAAGCTTGTCACCAACTGGAGGACTTTGGATCCTGAAGTTTTACCATTGACAATGTTGAATTTTACCTGAGGCCTGTGTTCCTGGAAAAGAGTGAAGGTGAAGAAATCCTCACCCTTTTGTGTTCTGGAAAACAGCTTACTACAAAAAAAACACCCTTCCCCAAACAACTTGGAAAAGACTCAAGGATGCCCCTTTGCTTACCTATGACAAGGCTAGACACTAACACCCCAAATTCCCGTTCTTTGCCTCATAAGCAACTAGCTGGACTATTTTCATCCCCACTGATCAATTGGACAAAATGCCTGTTAACCAGACTCCTTGGTCAGGTTGGGGAAACTAGAATCAACCAGAATGTTAGTGGCAACAGAGCCCAGAGTAGGGTCCAAGTCTTCCACCCCAGGCTCCATCTCCTTCCAGCACAACCACAGGTACCATTTTCACCAGCTTCATGGCTCTATCTCATTTTCAGCCTTCTTCTAACTACTCTCTGCTGAGGTAGTCTAACAATTCCCAAGAGAGTTCAGAGGGCTCCAGAGAAGACCCCAAACTCCTATAGTGTATCACCCCCTTATCCATAGGGAATACATCCCAAGACCCCCAGTAGATGCCTGAAATAGTGAACCCTATATATGCTATGTTTTTTCTTATACATACATACCTATGATAAAGTTTAACTTATAAATTAGGCACAGTAAGAGATTAACAACAATAACTAATAATAAAATAGAACAACTATAACAATATACTGTAATACAAGTTATATGAATGTGGTCTCTTTCTCTCTCTCAAAATATCTTGTTGTACTGTACTCCCCCTTCTTGTGATGACTTGAGATGACACAATGCCTATGTGATGAGATGAAGTGAGGTGAATGACGTAGGCCTTGTGACATACTGTTAGGCTACTATTGTCCTTCTCACAATGTCAGAAGGAAGATCATGGAGCCATGATGGTGGCAATGGTTGGATATCAGGAGCAGATGATATCTGTGATTGAACCCAAGTAACTGGAACCAGGAAAAGCAAAACCACGGATAAGGGGGAACTACTCTAATCAAATGATTTCAAATCCAGTCAGAACACACAGGAACAAAGAAGCAACTCAGCTGGGCTCCTTTAACATCAACTAGGGACCAGCAGCTTTTTATGGTAAACCAAACACAGAATTAGACATAGGTCCTGCCTAGTAGGGACTACGGGAATATAATATAATGCTGGGAGCCTGATCTGTACCACAGGCATTGGTAAATAAAAGGAAAAATGCACTTAACTCAACCTTGAAAGGTCAGAGGGTGACCTGCTCCAGGGAAATCTGAGAGTCAGAGAAGGGTTGGGATGTAGAGCCCTGGCATTGTGACGTCATTGCTAAGCCTCTGGGTACGGTAGAGGAATAAACATCCCAAAACTGTTCTTAAAAACAATGACACACAGGATGTTTTCCTGCTAGACGTTCCATTGTTTCATTTGTCTTTGCAGTATCCTGGTGAATTAGAAAGGTTATAGGTATTATTCACCCTCATTCTGTATCCAAACAAAACAAGGGCTTAAAAGCTCAAATGGATTGCACAAACCTAAGTGATGGGTAAGGATACGCACAAGTCTAGCTCCAGATCTCGGGTCTTCTGACTCCAACCAATGTTCTGTCTGCTGTAAAAATCAAAAAGAAACTTTTAAGTTGAATCTTTGAGCCATCTATTTATTCCAACTTACCAACCAGTGTAGGACTTCCTTCCATAGGGCTCTGACAAAAAAAGTAAAATTAAAATTTATAGCCCCTCCTTAATGTCTCAGTAATGAAGAGTTCATTACTTTTTTATAATATATTCTTTTTCTAATTATTAAAGTAATACACACTCATGGCATAAAATTTGGAAACTACAGAAAAGCATAAAGAATAAAATGTAAACTACCCATAATCCCACCACATTGACATATCCTTTATTTTCTACTTGCTATTAAAATACAAATGAAGTATATGTTGACTTTTTAGTGGTATTACACAGGATAATATCCAAGATATGATTTATATTACTTTTTGGAATAGTGTCTTCCAATCATATATATCCATCCAATCATATACACCCAGTCCAATATATCTGTATTTTACAGAATTAGAATCATACTTTAATTACTAATTTGTGACCAGATTTTCTCCCTTAATATATCATCTTCAGAATATAATTTAAAATTTCCATAAAACATTTGAATTGTTTACAAGATATTCATTCATTCTTTGACATACCGTAACTTACTTAACTTCTACCCCAATGTTGGTCATTTAGATTGTTGCTATTTTTCAGAATTACAAAAATAACATGGAATGAACATTAATCTACTAGCCTATTCCTGTGATAGTTTATTCACTGCAACTTTATAATAAGTTTTAATAACATTTTCCAAAATCTTCTTGGATATTCTTACTCAAATTTTCCTCTAGACACTTTTTTATAACATCCTCCTAAAAAAATGAGATATTATTTGAAATGCAGTAAATATTACAGATTAGTCTAAAGAGATTTGATAAATTGACTCTTCTCATTTCTTTTCAAAGCAGTCTACTTATCAATTAGACA